GAAAAGAAGACTTCAATTTGATTGGTCCATGAATTTCCACTTATTTATCTCTTTAATAATTATTAAAAGAAATAATTATTTATTTTACTCTCCAATAAAATGACATGTGATATTCTTTAATTGGCCTTCAAAATATACATGTGGCATTCTTTAATTGGCGAACAATATATATTAAATAATCAATTAATTAACTATTTAATTTAGGAATTAAAATTTGATTAATTTCTCAAATAAAATAGAAAATTATTAGATTGATTTTGACATGGAATTTGACACTTGTCGCCATTTTATTGCCTCAAAATTTAATTGTCTACACCACATATTAAAACCAAAGTAAATGAAGATGAAAATTCTTACAATATGTCCAAAATATTTCAAGAAATTGCACGTGTGTGTATAGTCTCAGATGTGTATAGTCTCAAATTGCAAGAGTGTGTAAAGAAAAAATTGGATTAAATTGGTTGATTGAAGAAAATAAGGTAATTAGTGTTATAATTGGCTTGTAGATTCCAAAATAGGAGATACGAATGGATTCAGAAAATCAAGCAATTTGATTTAAAGAAACATGAATTGATTTTATTAAACATGGAATTATAAAATATATTAAGGTATTTTTGAAGCTTACATGGCAGATGATTAGGCACCGAACCTAGACATGTATTAATAGTTAATACGAAGCATAGATTTGTGTCAAGTAAGTTTCTGAAGCATGCGAACATGACACTAAGATTCAATATATTCTGAAATTATATATAGAGAGATATTTAAAAAGAAAAATAATATCAATAGTTTTGCTAACAAAAATACAAACATAAAAAAGATTAAACGAAGGTAGACATCTTCTTCCATTGCACTACTATCTGCATGAAATACAAATTAATGTTAGCATTATTAACTAGACATAATGATAGATCATGGTACTAAATCATCTAAATTTTTAAGAACTAAAACATGATAAGTGCATAATCATGTCACATGAGCAATTTGCACCATCTACATATATAAAAAAAGTTTGTATTTAATCACTTGAAATACCGCCAAAATAGATTAGTTATTAAATAAGGAAACTTTTTTAAACATTATTTTTACTTTATTTTTCTTCACAACCCATGATGAGAATTTTATTTTTTCTTAGGTAATGTTGTGTCAATAATTGATCTAAATATATTAATTAAACTTTTTAGAAAAATTAAATCAATTATTTTATTTTTATTTTTACTTTTAGTGGTGTGATATCAATAACTTGATATTGAATTTTTCAGAAAATTACAATCAATATTCCATTTTTGCCTAATCTATAATTTTATTTTTCTGAAGAATATTAATTAACAGATATGGCTATAGACTAAGCACTCCAAGGATAATTATTTATAAATTCAAAATATAAAATTTAAAATAATTTTAAAATGTACATACACGAATTATGATTTTAAATTATTTTATCCTAAATATATTTTATTATAGATACATTTATATATTTTCTTTTTTTGTATGATAACTTGAGAACAATTCTTTATGTTTAAATTAGTATTACATAATAAATGTAATTCATTTTATATATACAATATTAACTAATAGATCGAGGAGTACTTATAGAAATAATTATTTTTATTTATATATATATATATAGAATGAGTGTCAAATAAATATTATATATAAAAAATAGATAAACAATAAAAATATTATTAAGTTATTAAAAGAAAATGACATTAATACTTCCTAAGAAAAAAAAAACTGACAACAAATAATTTTCTCATGAGTTTAAAAAAATATTTCTAAAAGAATATGCAAATATACGTAAAAAAATATTTTGTGAATAAAGTATATACGATATTAAAATGATAAACCAACGGGTCATTTATCGAACTACCATCTAACTATCAAATTATATAGAGTAAAATAGTTGTAATATGTATTGTTATAAATCATGATAAATCAATGACTTATATGTCGAAATGCTATGTAAATTATAAGTTTAGTTAAAATAAAATTTTTTATTATAGATAATCGTTATAAATATAATTACAAACTAATAGATCACATGTCGAATTATCCATGTAAATTATTGACTTAGAAAGAAAAACATAATATTTTTAATGAATACTTTTATAAATTATAATGATATCAATAAGTCATATATTTAGTACAATGATGTAAATTGTTAGTATATGAAACACATATATTGATAATGCATATTGTGATGAGTTATAATGATAAATTAATTGATGTGGGATTGCCGTATGAATTGATAGATTAGAAATAAAATTCAAAATATTTATAATATACATTATTATAAAACATAAAAATATTAAAGAAATTGTGACGTAATTAAAAATTAATAAATTTACAAAATTTTAATATAATTTACACTACATTGTTTTCAAAATATACTGTCGATTTATAATGTTTGACGCAATTTGTCAACTTTACTATCACTTATTTAAAAATAATATATATTGTAAGAAGGTATGCGTAAAAAAAGAAAGTGGAGTATTTTTATGAGTATTATTTATTGATAATGTTTGAATATATTAAATTTTCATGTTCTATAATTCTAAACGGAAACTTAAAATGACAGCTAACTTATAACGGGTCAAATGAACATATAAATAATTTATTAATATATACTATAAAAATAAAATAAAATATAAAAATTAAAATAAATATTCAAAATTATTTTTATACTAATCAATATTCCTTCATTGCTTTAATTTACATGATTTATCAGTGTTGCCCGTGCATTATTGCTGTCAACGAACTGAACAGAACCGAGCTTGGGCTGTTCGAGCTCGTGTTCGTTTACGTTCGAACAATGTTCATGTTCATTCGTTTATTTTTCTAGCAAAAAATCGTGTTCGAGTTCGTTCATTTAATTATTCATCAAAGTTCGAGTCCGTTCGTGTTCGAATAATTTAATACATAAACTTTTTAAATATGTTTGATTAACTCGAAATTTGTTCGTTCGAACTCGAACATAAAAGAATAAAATAAAAATATTTTTATATTTTAGATTTTATTAAAAATATTATATAAATATATAAAAAGTAAATAAAATTATATTAAATTTTAGATTTTTTATTAAAAGTATTAGTAAATATATAAAAAATAAAATAAATTTATATTAATTAATGTTCGCGAACATAATCGAACTTTCACGAACGAGCTCGCGTTCGTTCGATTATTAAACGAGCCTAATTTTCTGTTCGAACTTGGCTCGATTAACAAAAGAACAAGTTTTTGTCGAACACGAAGGTGCTCAAACGAGATTTTGTTCGCGAACGTTCGGTTCGTTTACAGCTCTACTGTGCATCGCATAGGCTACGTAGTAATCAATAAGTTAACGTTTTTCAGGAACAAATAAAATACCGAAAAATTGCCTATTCAATTGTCGATCGATCGACTCTTGCCGAACACGAATGAACTTTTTATTTACAAACGTTCGGTTCATTAACAACCCACTCACAATTATTGGTTAAACTAGGCTTTGTTTGATGCGTGTTCTAGTTGATTTGCCTTGTTTGCTTAATTTGACCAAATATATTGGTTAGGTACGTACTTGAAATTTTCAAAATATTAGGTAATTAGAATAAGATAGTGGGAACCCAAGAGCACGTGGGTGAGATGGTTGGGGTCTCTCCCAGCTTTACCAGAGGTCTTGAGTTCGAGCTCTGAGAATGCAGCTGTGTTAAAACTTTTGAGGTAGAGCTTTGCCGCCTTTGTGGTCCTACCCGGCTCGATTCCGGATTAGTCGGTCCCCTAGGGGATTCGAAAACCGGAAGGTTCATTGTAACAAAAAAGAATAAGATAGTGGGATAAAACAATGTTTAAGTTAGACCTGTTTTGTTTTGGCCTGGTAAAAAGACAATGAACATTTTTTAAATTTTTTAAACATTAAAAAAGGGAAGAAGAACACAAAATTATAAAATAGATGACATAAATAAAAGCGACTTCTGGGGTGGTGATACCGATATGACGTTGACCCAACAAATGGGTTTTTAATAGGATAGGAGTCGCCTTTAGTACTACCCCAATGGACCAAACCAACTTGTATGTCAATGAACTGGACGTACATAAAATGCAGCACAAGGTACCATCTCGTGAGCCCTACTGAAAAGGGCCTTCCCTTCCTCTCACACAACGGTTGCTCTTGGTACAAATACAATATCCGTTATTGTATGGATACAAATAAAAAGAATTGTATTTAAAACTTAAAAAGGTGTTTTCTTTTTTAGATTCCAAATAATTCTTACAAAATTATGTTATTATTTACATTTAAAATGAGATTTATTATTTATTTTTCACTAATCTTTCTTTTAAAGTTATAAAAACAATTATTAACTTAAATATAATTTAAAAGTTAATAAGTTTGTTATTTATTATTAAGTTTTTGTATATAATATATCAAATTAATCATGTCATGACGAACTTCAATTTGTCCTATATATTATACATACAAAATAAATAAATAATTATATTAATCTTTATAATAAAAATTAAATTACCTTTTAATACTAATTGAAAAAAATAAAATTATTTAAACTAGTTTAACTATAAAGTAGTTATATGATATAAGTTAAAAAAATTATAATAAAAAATAGTAATTCGTATAAGTATAAGCGATGTATGTCATTTTTAATATAAATAAGAACATACTTTTTTTATATACTTAAAGTATATAAAAATTAAAATATTTTGCTATTTAATTATATATATATTTTTTAACAATCACTTGTGTAATAGCGGTATTCTATCAATGTGTACATATTATTCTGTCAAATGTTTACTACCAATCTATCATCTGTTAGGATTATTAATATCGCGTACATAATTTAAAGTAGGGGACTTCTTCTCAAGCATCCGTTGTCGTCCAGTGGTTAGGATATCTGGCTTTCACCCAGGAGACCCGGGTTCAATTCCCGGCAACGGAATATTCTTTTTGTTCTTTTCCCTCCTTTTTTTGGTATCGAATCTCTCTTCTGTCCAGCAAATCTCAGCCGTCCGTTTCGAAAGCATCACCCGGCCCAAAAAGCCCCGAGGGCACTAGATCCGCTGTCCGCGTCGCAGATGATGGGTCCTCCCTTCGAATCAAATACGTCAAATGACCCGTCACTTTTCCCCTTGCTCGGCACGTGACATCGTCGTCTACCTGAGTTTCAAATACGTGTTTTCTTCACAACACATTGTAGAAAGTTCTGTTCTCCGTTTGCGGGCAGCGCCTAACCATTTTCACACCCAGCTAACAATTTTCATTACGCATTACGTTTTCAGGTATATTTTCTTATTCTTTTTTTTGCCGTTCTTCTGATAATTTCATGAAATTTTCTCGTTGATCTCATGTTTTGATGTATCCGATGAATGTTTTATTCGAAAAGTGTGTGCGGAAGTGGCTATTTTGATCTTTTCCTTAACTGATTTTGTGGATAAGGTGTTGCAAAAGCGAATATGTTTCTGTTGATTTTATGTTTTCACGATGGAGGAGGTATTGTTGAGTTAGATTCACCTGCTTTTGGTTAGATCAAGGGTGATGAAAGTGCCTGGACTATTGTTTTCCGATTAGAGACTGCATTTGTGTATAAGGTTTTGTGAATCTGTTCTTAAAAGAACTTTGGAATTGTGTTGGAATTTCTGCAGATGGCACCGCCGGCTCTGATCTGCGAAACCGAGCCGTGGAAGGATTTGAAGGTAACTTTGTAATTTCATTCTTTCGAGTTTCAACACTAAACATTCTGGGGAACAGTATTTGATGATTATTTTGCTTGCATGTGCAGGCCCATGTAGAGGACATTGAGAAGACTCATCTGCGTGAATTGATGGGTGACGCAGACCGATGCCAGTCCATGATGGTGTATGATATATGTCTAGAATTTAAGTTTTGTATTGATAGGACGTTATGCAGATATAGTGTTAACTTTTGGATTCATTTTAAATCATGGACAGTGAGTTCGACAGGGTACTGTTGGATTATTCGAGGCAACGTGTAACTCTTGACACGTTGAGTAAGTTAAAAAAATTAGCAGAGGTAAGATAGAGATGAACCTCTTCTATTTTGGTGGAGAATAGAATTTCGGAATCTGATTCATGTTACATTATATGGTGATGCAGGCAGCTCATTTGAAAGAGAAGATTGATCGGATGTTCAAGGGAGAGCGTGTAAGTTGATACTTGCTAATCGTATGAATGTGTGATTACACTAAGATATATGTAGGGGTTGTCAGAGCAATATGCTACCAACGAGCAAATATCTCTTTTGGAAAGCTACCTGTTGTTAATTGAAATTGCATATTGTTGCACGATGTATTGGGTACTTTAGATGAAAACTGTGTTAGTTATAGCAATATGATGCCTAGTTTGCGGTATCTTTTGTATTGTTGGAGAGCATATCAATCTCAAGAACATGGTCTTGTCTGAATAAAGTCCGAAAATAGTATCATTTGCTATCCTTTGTGGCGGGATCCTAATGTGGTTATCCATATTATGTTTTGATAAGACGCAATAGTCATTGTATAGTTTTCTTTATTTCTTTGAGATGTTAGCTAACTGAATATATCTAAAAGCCTTCACTGAATTGTCTTGCAAAATCATCCACTCAATAATTTCATTCATTTATTATTATTACTTGGTTTCGTATCATCAGATTAACAGTACAGAGAATAGATCTGTCCTTCATGTAGCACTTCGTGCTCCAAGGGATTCAGTCATAAATAATGATGGGAAGAATGTGGTCCCGGATGTTTGGCAAGTTCTTGATAAAATCAAAGATTTCTCTGATAGGGTCCGCAGTGGTGCCTGGGTAATTCCTCTCATCCAATATGCAGCAATTCTTATTGGTTGCATTCTGCCCATATTGTTAACTTGCTATATGACAGGTTGGAGTCACTGGGAAATTGTTGGAAAATGTTATTGCAGTTGGAATTGGAGGCAGTTTCCTAGGTCCTCTCTTTGTACATACAGCACTTCAAACAGGTAGTTATGGTTATACAGTAACTTCACTTGTATAATGGCCTTTCCTGATCTTGATTGATGATCTCCAACAATTTATATCTATATGCTTGTACACTTTTAAAGTGGATAACTTTCCACATAACCTTCTAACTTGCAGACCCAGAAGCTGCTGAATTTGCTAGGGGGCGCCAGTTGCGATTGTAAGTTTGATATAATACTAAGTTATTTTTTATGAGATTGTCCTCCTGTATTAACTTATTTTATTTGTATGACAACTCATTATGTTACTTTAGAAAGTATTGAACTAAATTGTAAGTTGCATTCAAGTCTGTATTGAGACCACAAATCAATTATTATTTCCAGAGTGTTGAGAGCTAAACTAGTTACATATTGTTTTGTATGACGAATGAGCAATCAGTTGTGATTTGTTAAACATTGACACGATCATCTGCATTATTTATTGCATTCTGTACTTTTTTCCGAAGTGATACTGTTTCATCTTTCTTTGACTTAACTTTTTACCCTGACTCTTTTTGTTTCACATTTGACATTGATTTCGACATTCTTCATATAAATACAGAAAAACATTGCATACAAATGGAAAGTTTTCATGGAAATGGCTTGGCCATTATCCCATTATGGGTAGTTTGTTTTAGATGGTAATATGAAGTATTCAGTTTATGGTAGAACAGCCTTTAAGGTCCAATAAGATGAGTCTTCACATCAGAATCTGGACTTCACTGCTGGCTAAGATGTTTCGTTCAGAGTAGTTGCACTATCATCTCATATGTAATAATGCATTTGAGCTTAATCTGTTCTTTTCTCATTCTTAATCCTTGTCAAAGCCTTGCAAATGTCGATCCAGTTGATGTTGCGAAGAACATTGCTGGGTTAAATCCTGAAACAACATTAGGTATCTCTACTCTATTTATCAGATAATTCTCAAATATTATTTTGCAAGCCCTGCTGAAGGTTGACATTCCCAGATTAATTGCTTTTCTTGTGTTTCGATTGTTTTACAGTTGTGGTGGTATCAAAAACTTTTACTACTGCCGAAACCATGCTGAATGCCCGGACTCTAAGGGAGTGGATCTCAGCTGCCTTGGGGTGAGAGCATTACGGAATACATTCTAAAATTGTTCTAGATACAGCTCCATGACCAACTAGGCTAACCAGTATTGTTATGGGGAATACAATTATTTTATTGAGCTTTACTCTCATAATACCGTCTGTTTTTCTTTTTTAGTTTTAGATGCATTCAAATCAAATGAACAGGCAAGCGAATATAGTTCTATAATAATAATAACTAATAGTGATACAACATTTGTGTAATTGATTAAAAAAATAAAAGCTTTTATTTAAATTTTCAAATACTTCTAATTATTTTTTATTTTTTATTTAAAATGACACTCATTAACTATAAGATTTGTTCATCCAATTTTATAATAATATTTTTAATTTATGTTAGACTTGATAGATAAATTAATAATGAATATTTTTATTTTTTCCAATTAGGATATGTTAGATAATTTATTAATTTAATTTATATATTTATAAAAGTAGATACAATTTTTTTTATATATGCAATATGAGTATCATATCGAGCATCGTTAAAAGTTTATTAATTTGATATATCATATATAAAAAACCAACAACAAATAAAAGAGTTATTAAGTTTTAAAGTTTATTTATAATTTACGTTGATCAAGTGCTTCGTAATCCTATTCCTATGTATAAAATTCTGTCTTATATATATCTGGCACAATGTTTCCAGGCCTGAAGCTGTGGCAAAGCACATGGTTGCTGTCAGCACTAATCTCACGGTGAGAGACATTTCATTTGTTTCCTTGCTTTTAAGAAATTTTCTAAAGCATGGTAAACGTCTCTCTCCTCCTTTAATTATTTACTTATGCAGATCTTGATTAGTTGTTGTGCTGTTACATTTGTCTAATGCACATAATTTTTTTGTGTTAACCTTCTCTCTGGAGGAGGCTTCTCCATCACATGTTACTTTGTGCCATATAGGATAACATGACGTATTTCGGGTAGCAATTATTCACTCGATAAAGCATATGATAAGTTTTTTCGACAGTTTTAGATATGAAGGTGGTCATAGATTGAGAAATCAGCATCTCATCAAATAACTGGTCATTCTGATTTCAACTTTGATTTTCCATTGCAGCTAGTTGAAAAGTTTGGTATTGACCCAAAAAATGCATTTGCCTTCTGGGATTGGGTTGGAGGGCGCTATAGCGGTAAGTACTTTCAGTTTTATGTCCAATTATTAGTTTAAATGCTTCTAATTTTCTTTGAATATCTGCTTGCAGTTTGCAGCGCTGTTGGAGTATTGCCTCTTTCTTTGCAATATGGATTTGAAGTTGTTGAGAAGTACTGTAACTTTCAGCTTTTCTCTAATAGCTCATGCACACAGTAGATAAATTATCCATGCTTGAAGCTGTAAATATTTTAGTTCATTGTTTATGTATTTAATTTTTATTTTACTAAACTTTACAATCATGTGAAAGGAAGAAACCTTACAGAAGGGCATGCTTCCTTCATGCTACTAAGATTAGTTTTGAGAAGTATGAAAATTTACTTTTTTCCTGGACAAAGTGAAACTACATTTTTTATTTTCTGAACATCTACTTATCTTATTTTACCAATGCACATTTTATTTTGTTGCTTTTGTTCTTACTTCCTGACATTTCAATGTTGTTTCTCACATTCTTGGAAGGTTCCTAAAAGGAGCTTCGAGCATCGATCAACATTTCCGGTCTGAGCCTTTGGAGAAAAACTTACCTGTATGTTCCCTTGTTAGGATGCTTAGCCCTTGTGCCTTACCGTGTTAATTTCATTCATACTTTTCAATATTCTAATAGCTTCCAATCATTTGGTAAATTGAATACCATGAGAAGAAAAAATATTTACCAAGTGTCTGTCTCATTGCCTGCAACTGATTTTTTTATCTTTAATTAGCCTCTCTCATTTCGTATTTGGTTGTGGTTTCATTACTGAAACTAACTCCTTTTACCGTGTCCCTCTCTCCTTAGAATAACTCATGCATCTATACTTTGTTGATTTTTTTTTCCCCTTTTCCTTCAGGTGCTACTAGGCTTATTGAGTGTTTGGAATGTGTCATTCCTTGGATATCCTGCTAGAGTAAGTCATTCAGAGTGACGCCAGTTTGGATAACCCCTAAGTTGTACTTTTTCCTGAGGTGTAATAGCAAGCCTTTTTTTTGTGTGCAGGCCATTCTACCTTACACTCAAGCACTTGAAAAATTTGCCCCCCACATTCAGCAGGCATTTTTTCTTGACTATTTAGTCTATTTTGAATATCCATGTTACTTGCATGTCACTGGCTTGCTTTGTCAATTAAAGGACTAATGTGCTTTGTTCAATACTGTCGATACAGGTTAGCATGGAGAGTAATGGAAAAGGGGTATCAATTGATGGTGTTCCCCTTCCCTATGAAGCTGGTGAGATTGATTTTGGTGAACCAGGAACAAATGGACAGCACAGCTTTTATCAACTAATTCACCAGGTAAAATTTGGTCTATGTCCAAATTGATGATTATTCCCGAGTTTACTTCAGTTGACTACCTGTTTGAAATATGGGTTGTGGCTGGGATCTTGCTTTGTACTGTGCAGCTGTTCAATGCTCCACTTGTTTATACCTGAAAGGAAGAGCAGAATCCTAGGAAAAAAACTGCTGCTGTTTGATGTATGAATAATATTGCACAATCAATGTCTGAACATAAATTGTGTCAGACGAAGTATGATAAAAGAGCAGTTCCTCTGCAAATATGAGTGTATAACCTGAAATGGATGAATCCGGGGCTCTGTGGTGCTTGCTTAAACAGCAGATATTGCTGTGCAATATCTACCCTTGGATATTAAGATCCAATGGCCACAAATTTTGGCCAAAACAAAATTTGCACATGAAAAAAGGAAGAACACCCCCTCAAAAAATCCACCAATCAAACTTACTGATAAATCAAAAGGATCCCTCTTATCTTTATTAATTTCGAGATTCAACTTCTCCACTCGGCTGCAGGAAAAGAAATGCATCAGAGTCGTCCTAGCGGTGAAATATCTCCGTGAATGATTTATTGATTATTTATTTATTTATTTGACAAAGGCATTGTTATTTGGTTTTTGTATCCGTTTTCAATTTATTTTCTATTATACTTTCATAAGTTATTTAATTTGTGTGGTTAATTTCTTTACATCTGGTTAATTTCATATTCTTTTATATTATTAAGNTGTCTCTAATTTTATAAGAAATAAAGTTCTTGACCGCTGATATCACAGCAGATATCTGCTGTTTAAAGACTCGCCGTACAGGCCCCCGATCTGAAATGGATTACAACTCCTTACAACGATCCTTGTGTGCAACATGCATGTAAACTCTGCTGAAACTTCAGACGACACAATTCTTAAATCTTCTTGTGGTCATTATAACCCAAGCATATACAATCTACTCTGCCGACATTATTTTGAAGTATTATCATGGTATTGTATAAAATAATTGCAAAATTATTTAATTGTTGGTTGTTGGTATGATATTCTGTATGAGATGGAAATCTAGTTGTTCTATTGATGCTTGTTCTCTATCATTAACAACTTTTGTATTCTATTTTTATTTCACAATGAAATCTTCAGAAATAGGTGTACTAACATAATTTGGTTTAGCTCCTAGATAAGAATCAATATTTGCTGAATTTCTATTTGAATTATTATGATATTGGAAAATTTCAGGGTCGAGTTATTCCGTGTGATTTTATTGGTGTGGTAAAGAGTCAGCAACCTGTCTACCTGAAAGGTACTTCGACTTATTACCCCCTAGCGAATTGTATGCTTTCGGGATCAGTTCAATTTTTATGTCCGTATTTGTTGGTGAATACACAAAGAAATTTCTTAAGAGTCATGCACCTTGCCTTTGCTAGGTGAATTGGTCAGTAACCATGATGAGCTTATGTCAAACTTCTTTGCTCAACCTGATGCACTTGCTTATGGGAAGGTAATTGGTGGGCTAAAGTCAGCCTGAAGTCATGGTCTTTTTTTTTTTTCTCCTGAACTTTTCTCTGCTTTCCCATCCTTTTGCTACTCGTCTTATATAACCTTCATCTGAATTTTTTTCTTCAGACTCCAGAACAGTTGTTAAAAGAGAATGTTCCTGACCATCTTGTTGCTCACAAAGTAATTCCATTTGCAGCTTTCTGTTTATCCAGAAAATGTAACTTCGTACCTAATTTTGATGTTTGACCTCAACTTATATTCTCTTACCGCAGACTTTCTCCGGAAACCGGCCATCTGTTAGCCTTCTGCTTCCTTCATTGAATGCTTACAACGTTGGACAGGTGAAGAAGATCGCTAATTGCTAGTCAACGTTAGTCTAGGACAAAATATTTCGGCATGCCTAACAAATATGCTTACTTTAAATGTAGCTGCTGGCAATTTACGAGCACAGAATTGCTGTAGAAGGGTTCATCTGGGGCATCAATTCTTTTGACCAATGGGGAGTAGAATTGGGAAAGGTATAAATATAATAACAAACTTACTTCTGCTAGAATTTTTTTCCCTATGTTTGCTGCTAGTCTACTCTTAATTTTGTTTCATTCTCTTTTCCTCCTGCCCCTTTTGTCTACATTACAAATAAATCAGTCACTGGCTACGCAAGTCAGAAAACAGCTTCATGCATCTCGTAAGAAAGGTGACCCGGTTGAAGGCTTCAATTTCAGTACTACAACACTTCTAACAAGATATCTAGAGGTAACCAAAAATCCTGTTCATTCTAGTGTCCTATTATTGTTTTGTAACTTTTTTTCATGCAAGTTATACCCAAACAGAACAGAAATAAAATATATCAGATGCTCCTTGTTTGGGAAGGTAAAAGGAGTTGTATCTCCAGAGCGACATTTTTCTTTTTCTTTTTTCCCAGAAGACAACAAAATTGTAAACTTGGCATCTTAATCGAAGATTTAAGCCATTCATTCATCACTTAATATTGAAACATGGTCTAATTGCAAGCTAAATGTTATGGTACAGTCTGTAATTTTAAAGCTAGCTATGATCTGAACAACCTCAATTCCCTTTTGGATTTTTCTTCTGTTTTTCCCTGTTGGGCAGGCAAATGCAGACATTCCAAAGGAGGACTGCACAATTTTACCAAAGATGTAATCATCAGTGAAGCTTCACGGGAGAAACGCTGTGCTCACAAATTAGGCTGCTTTCTAGTCACAGAATAATAATAGCAGCTAAACGAGTTTTTGCTGATGGCTGTGGTTTGTATTACTCAATAGCCGAATTTTCGTTTCTCATGACTGATTTCCTGCTAAGTGCTGAACTTGTTAACAGCTACGGTTTTGTTCTCTGATTTGGTACGAATTCTGCTTCTGCCATCCTAACAATAGAAACTTGTACTCACATACAAAATGTTTCCGAACAATCTCAATGAATGATAACAAATAAAGTTTAATAAAATCTGAGTGAACTCCATTGAAGTTACTTGCTTTCTGCAACTTCTTAGTGTTTCAAAGTACGGACAGTCCTCGGTGTAAATAAATATAAGAAATTGAAAATTTCTTTTGATATTGTAATATACATCTGAATATAGCCATTCTTAAACACAAATAAACCTTAAATTCCCAAGTTTGGAGGAAAGATCTGTCCGTAATTGTGTGAATCATCATCCACATCACAAAAACATGTGATATTGATTGTATTTCCCGTCATGTGGTGAAAGTCAACTGGAAAAACATTATTTTGCTTATGATGTTGCGATTATTAACGTTTTTGTCAACATTTTTTTTTTTGTGTGCAATGAAATTCAAGTTTTCTGATAGATCGTAAAATGTGCACGTTTTATATGTTTAGTAGTGTATTTTTATATACTTAATTTAATCGCACATTTATATTTTTCGACCTATTTATTATTTAGATGGATTTATTTGTTTTGGTATTTTATGTGTTATTTTCAGTATTTTGGAGCAATTTGTGTTCACGAAGTATTGGACGAGAGTTCACACGATCAATTATCGGGCCTCCGATATTATCTTATTTTCGGCCCAAATAGAAATGAAAGTGACGTGGAGGATTTTTGTTTTGTTTGTAATTTTGAATCAATTTGCATGGCCCAAGATTAATTAGTTATTGAAGGCAATACTTACGCAGCCACATTTTATTGAATTGGAGGAGAATTTTGATTTTGGAGGATACTTACGGGAAGAGGAATTAATTGGCTGCTAAAGGAATTAAACTCACCCTGGGAAGGACTTATTTGGAGAGGGGTATTTATTTGCGAGACGACGGCATACAGAAAAAAAATGGGAACCGCAGACATAAAGAAAAAGAAAAGAAACGCGCAGCAACAGACACGCACGGACTGAAGGAGAGAAGGCTACACACCCGGAGGGAAGCCGCAATTGCACACGAGGGAGAATTTTATTCTCTCTTTTATCTTTTATTTATTTTTATTAGTATGTTAGGCTAGACTTTTTATCCAGTTTGAGGGGATGTTTGAACCCTAATTCTGATTTGTCTATGAATTGGATGATCTCTATTTATCGTTACTTAATTGAGACGTCGTATTTATTTTGTCAATGAGTTGATTCATGTTATCTGTTTATATCTTTTATGAATTATGGTGTCTGATTTAGTTTGGCCAGCTAGATTGAATATTCATAGTTTAATTGCTAGATTCGGGACTTTAACCCGTAATTGTTATTGTCTCGTTTCATTAGTAGTAAACTATGGGTCGTGCATCTCTAGGGTAGCGTGAACATAAGTTAAATGGTCCGAGCTTGTGTGTCCATTGCTTAGAGTGACCTATTTTCCTAGAAATTAATGTTGTTGGTGTATTAAATCTAGAGAGTTTATTCTAGGTTGTCCACTAGTTGGGTTTAGTCAAAGAGCCTATTTCGATTAAATAATCAGTAAGGGAAAATTCGGTTAACAGAGCTTGTTGTTAGCTAGGGTTAGTAATTCATTAGCGATTTAAAGAAAGCGTCGAAATTAATTAACGGTAGATTTAGATTGGGTGATAACTGAACCGAAAACTGGACTTCTCTTATTTTATTTGATCTCTTATTTTATTTTATTATTTTTATTTTTATTTTTATAAAATCAATCCCTCCATATTTATTTGCTTTCTTAGTTTAATTCAATTAATACGAAAATATCACGATTTAATTCCTACCCCTCGTGAGATCGATCCTTACTCGCCACTACTACTAGCTAGTAAAGGTTAGTCGAGGAAACTTTATAAATTTAAATTTGCCGCGTCGACGCGCGGTCATTTTCGAAGGGCCCATTTGGCATCAGATAATAAAAGATACCCACCAAACTGCAGGAAAGCGCTTCCCCCATGATTATGAGTCTGACCTCATTATGGCCACCAAACAAGTCGTTATCCTTTGACACTTGAAACCAGCTTTGCTTGTAAAGTCCGCCAAAAAGCATGAACCACCTAAAACTAAAAGCAAGCTCACAAACCATATATTGGCAAACATCTCTTATGATATTCAAGATTTTGATTATANAAAAAAAAAAAAACAATGGTGCCTTCATTACCTGATTTACCTCCCCATCTCTCATTCATTTGCATCATGGCTATCCTCATCGTCTACCTGGTTTGCTGCTACCTAGTAATCGATTTCATAAGCAGTCAAGACGAAGAAAGTCCACACCAGGATTCAATCTGCAGTAATTCTTCCTATTACTACCATTTATCTGTTGAGGAACTAAAAGAGATCACTTGTTTGTACCATGAAGTGGGACCAGGTCATTCGATATGTGCCATCTGCCTAGAAAACTTCCGACAAGCCCAAGTGTGCCGGGTCTTGCCAGCCTGTCGCCATGAATTTCACGCTCATTGTATCGACCCTTGGCTCTCCCAGAGCCTCACTTGTCCAACTTGTCGAACGCCTTTTAGGCCTCAGATAGGTGTTTTTGGGTGAAGACATTAAGTGATTATTTGTATATATGCTTATATAGGGTTAGAATTTAGTTCAGTAGCAGACAGAATTTACCTTCTTTGAAAATGATATATGATGAAGACATGTAGGTAGTTGAAGGTGCAACTGCAGATATGAAAGTAATTCCTATTTTTCTTTTTCCTTTTTTTTTCCTTTTAATGTAACATAAATGATCTTCACGTTCTTTTTTCTCCAGAGAGAAACATTTGAGAGGAGAAAAATACTTAAAACTTGAGCATGTGACATGAACATAATACGTTAAGTAGGAAAATCGTTTCGACTGGAGTTTCTCACGGGTCACCAGACTAATTCCGATCATCTGTTAGCTTCCTGTAAGATATGCCACATTATCTTGAAAATGTTTATAGTTTTAAGTGTCAATAATAAAAGTGTTTAAGAAAACTATACAAATGACAATTAAGACTTGGTAGGCAAAGGATGACTAATTAATCAGGCCAATATTCATGAATCCAGCATTATATATTCAATTGTTTTACCATTATCTGTTCACACATCAATAAAACCTTTCTCTACCATTTCCACCACAGAAGACAACACAAGGATAACTCCATTCTCAGGATTCACAGCATTTGTCTTTTCATGCCTTTCCCACAAAAGCAGTGTGAAATTCACACCTATATGGATTAAGGATTACATATGTGTCATGTATTTACAATTAAGTTGGCTCATAACTTGCAAGTGTTATGAGGCAATGAGATCCTGAAGCACATTTAGCTCATTAACATCTTCAATTTTGATAAACAGCCCTTGTGGTGGTCCAATCACAAATAATCAATAAGATAACGTGCCTTGTTACGAAGAAACGTATTCGTGTATTCAACCAAACCGTAACTTTTAAGGCCAATAACATTCAACACCAACACACAACATGAATAAAACATTCCATCACTCATAAAACAATAATCATCCATGTGTTGTCAAAAATAGCTACCCAAGGAACTAAGTTTTCTTTCAAATGAAAATTTACCCCCGGAAAATGACATACTTCTGATCACAATCCCCAAACAAGGCCTATTAGAATCCTAGATAGAGAATAGCACTTATCTGCATAAATCGATTTAAACACCGGTGGATCCAAACCCACCAGAGCCCCTAACAGTCAAGTCAAGATCATCGACCTCAGTAACCTCTGGCGTCACGATTTTCTCGACTATCAGCTGTGCAATCCGGTCACCGGCATTGACTTCAAAGTCAACATCGGAATGATTGAACAAAATCACCCCGACCGGCCCCCTGTAATCGGCATCAATCACTCCTGCACCAACATCAATCGAATGCTTCCAAGCCAAACCCGATCTAGGGGCTGCGCAAAAATAAAAACAACAAGAATATGAAATTTATTCTACAAAAATCATATTTTCTTTCGAAATACATGTAGAAAAATGCATGAGACTGCAATTTAATTTCTCTGTAATTACGAATATCCCATTTTGATTATTACAGCAATAAACAGACCCAGAACTACAAGTATTACGACCAAAGGTGGCATTTTTTTTTTTAATTTCTTTCCCATTAAAAGTCTTGTCTTTTGGAATTACGAGATTGTATAAATGATCATAAAGGATGGGTAGCTGCAAAAGAAATGAAATTAAAAAATAAATAAAAAAGTAAGAGAGATCATCAATCAAACACCTAGAAGGCACTTCGAGATGGGTACCAGTAAAATGCAAAATTAGGCTACGCAAATTTCCAATTTCATTATTTTTTGGGGGGGAAAAGTACGTAGAGGGGTTGAGTAACTTTACCAACGCGAGCGTAAGTTCCAGGAGGAATGGCGATGCTCAGATCAGTCGGAATTAGGGCTTTGCCTCTGGCCGGGACTTTGGTCTCCGTCGCGCTAACACAAGTTGGTGAAAATAAGTGAACAAACAGCAACC